GGAGTCTAGCACTCCTAACCACCACACCACCCACCAGCCCTACTTATTTGATTTTTCTGAAATTGGGTCTCAGCTTTCCCAGATGAATTTATCCAGGTACAACATGCAATATTACCTATGGTGCAGACACTTCATCTAGTAAATAATCAAGAGCTATTCTGTTATTTTGTTTGTTTTTGGAGAGGTTTTTGCTACAGGGCGCTTCTACTTGTGTGTTTGTGGGTTTACTTTCTAATCCACTGCCACTCCCTCTCAGGTGTGTGTCTTGTTGAGCAGACCTTGACAGAGCCTACATACCTCAAGATCTTTGAGGGGAGGACTGTTTAGATCTTTTTACCTTGAAGTACTTCCTGTTCCAGTGTCCAGGTTTTTTACAGTAATGGCAAAGGTCAGGACTTTGTTTAAAACTATATTTGGAATCTTCCAACTGTTGTAGCCAGAGGATTTTAGTACTTTTCATTAGTATCCTCTACAGTATGGGCCAAGTGATTGACCAAACTTATTAAAGCTGAATGGGCACTCTCCTACCTCATGTGATTTTTTTTTTAATTAAAAAACTATTTTTTAATATGATCAGAGAGAAACAGAGCGAGAACAAGCGAACAAGCCACCAGGTCTGAGACTCAAATCGGTCGGTCATGTGAGAGTCCAGTGTCCTTAACCACCACGCCACCTGCTGGCCCCTCCATGTGATATTTTTGAAGTTGGGAAAGTTCTCGACAGAAGCCATTTCCATAGAATTAAAAGTTTACTTGAGTACAATCAATGTCTATATGAAGACCAGAATTTTCTTCCTAAAGAACCTGAAGTCTGCTGTAATAATTGTCAGTGGGTTCACTATGTACCTGGGTAAAAGCTTGACTCTTATTTCAACCTAGCCTTAGGAAATGCTTGAAGGATAGCCTTCAAGCTGAGCCTGAAGACTTTTGGCCAAATTACCAGCCTATTCCCCTACGTGGGCCATTTGTTCCTCTAAGTCTAACTCAGAATTAGAAAGACAAATGAACCAACTAGTATAGAACAGAAAAACAGAGCTGATTATCCTGAATTCATAAACGAGGCCCATTTGTTGTGGTTCAGTGGTGATGAAAATACCTGTACAACTAGCCATTCAAGCAACCACAGGTTCAGATCCCTGGGCTGGCCAGGAAATACACCAGTTACACACATGGGCACCCAGAATCCTAAGGAGCTGAAGAGTTGGAAAAGGAGATCACGGTTCAATGAGACTCCGTTGTGAGTACTTCTCTTTACCCATTGAGTGCATATCATAGGTGATTCGAGCATTTTGTCTCCGACTTTCCAGTAAGCACATATACCCTATAGCAAAAAATCTCTAAAAAAAAAAAAATGAGGGTGTGTGTGTATACATCAATCATTGGGTCATCCATTTAACACATTTATTAGGACTATGTAGAGGAAGCCAGATCCCATACAGCCAACCAGGTTTCAAATCTCACCCTTGTCAGCTTCAAAAACATGCTGGACATGGACAGGATGGAGAATTGAAGGAAAAGGACTATAGGATTGGGCCAGTGTGGTGGTTAAAGAGGTTGGATCCCACATGCCAACTACAAAGTTTGAAAAACATACTAGGCCCATGTGCACGCATGCCCCAAATCCAAGAGAATGGAGAAGGGATTGTGGCATAGCCATGTCCCCTGAGGGGGTGGTGGTGGTGGTGGTGGTGGTGGTGGGGAGAGCTTGTTTTTTTTTTTCTTCCTGTTTGTGTCTTTAAAAAATATATATATTTTTAACTTTATTTATTAATTTATTTCAATTTGACCAGAGAGGGACAGAGGGAGAGAGAAAGCAAGCTGCCAGGTCTAGGACTCGAACCATGGTTGGCCATGAGGGAATCCAGCGCCTTTAGCCGCCATGCCACCTGCCAGCCCCAAAGGGAGAGCTTTCTTACTTTCTCACCAGCAGTTGCACAAACCCTAGAGGAAATTTTTTAAAAGTCGCAGCATGACTAGGTCCTGTGGGGTAGTCCCTTGTGTGTGTGCCTCTAGCATGTTTAAGAAGAAAATTTTGTAAGCCAGTCTATAGGGCACATATACTTACCAGAGACTGAGACAGACAAAATAAGAATCTCACATGGGCGGATAGCCACACCATATTCCCTTCTCCATTTTCCTCTCAGGATTTTGGGCGTGTATACACATGTGCCTGAAGTGATTTTCAAGCTATCAGTTCTGGGACATGAACTGTAGTCAGCCATGTGGGAGTACAAAACCTTAAACATTACAAGATCTGCTGGCCTCAGGGAAAGTTTTCTTGTTTTATTTATTTATTTAGTCCATAGGGTGTACACATTTGCCTGAGTGAGAAATCCCCCAGGGAGTTGGCCATGCCACAATCCCTTCTTCTTCATTCTTTTCTTGGGATCTTGGGCCCATGCACACACACACACATACACAGCATGATTTTCAAGGCCCTAGCTCCAGGACTCAATCCATGTTTAGTCATATGGGAGTCCAGTACCTTAACCACCATACCACCTGCTGGCCCCATTTTGGTTTTGTTTTATTTAGAGTGCACGTACCCTAAGGCAAAAACCTCTCATCAGAGGACAATGAAGAAATCACCCCCCAGGGGGATGGCAATGCTGCAGTCCCTTCTTTTCCCAGGGTCTTGGGCATACACACACATGCACTCAGCCAAAATTTCAAGCCATCAGGTCCAAGGCTCTAACAGTAGTCAGCCATGTGGGAGTCCAACCATGTAACCACTATGCCATCTGCTGGCCCCTTGTTTTGTTTTTTAATTTGCCAGAGGGTGTGTGTGCTCACTAGAGGCAGAGAAGAAAGTATCTCCCCACCACAGGCCATGGTCAGACCATAATTATTATTTAAGGTTTTTGTCATAAGCTATAGGTGCTCATCAGATAGAAACATAGAGAGGGAGAGGACCAGCAGTTGGCATAATGGCTAGGTCACTGGACTCCCATGTAGTCAACTACAGTTCGAGTCCTGGACCCAGTGGCTTAAACTCATGCTGGGTGCGTGTGCATGTGTGACCAAGATCCAGAGAGAATGGAGGAGAAGAGATTGTGGTGTGGCCATCCCCCCAGGGAGTGATTTCTCGCTTTCTATCCCTGAGGAGCACATGTAACCTATAGCAAAAAATCTCTCAAAAAAAGAAAAAAAAAAAAAAAAGAGGGCTGGCAAGTGGTGTGGTGGTTGGGGGCACTGGACTCCCACATGGCCGACGACAGTTTGAGTCTCGGACCTAGTGGCTTGCTTTCTCGCTTTCTCCCTCTCTTTCTGTCCCTTTCTGGTTAAATTTAAATAAATAAATAAATAAAGTTTTTTAAAAAAGAGAAACAAACATAGAGCAGGAAAGTGAGAAATCATCCCCTAAGAGGGACAGCCACACTGCAGTCTTTCTCCATTCTCTCAGGATTTTGGGGATGCATGCATACATGCCTGGTGTGTTTCAAGTCGCTGGGTGTGGGAGTCCAGCACCTTAACCACCAGGCCACATGATGGACTCACTCAATTATTCTTTTTCCTCCATTTTGCTCCTTTTGAGATTTTAGGCATGCATGCATACGTACCTGGCATGTTTTTCAAGCCACTCGGTCCAAGACATGAACCATGCAGTTGGTCATGTGGTGTTAACCACCAGACCTGAGGTTAAGATTTTTATAGAACATAGTTTTGGATTAGAGGTGTGTGGAGGTGCTGAGGGGTTCAGGGGAAAAAATAAAATAAAAAAGCTACAGAAGAGGAACAGTGTGAGTGGAAGATGGTGGCTCTGGAGTGAAAAAATAATCTAAGTCTTGGGACCAGCAGAGGGCATAATGGTTATGTTGTTGGATTCCCACGTAGTAGCCCATGGTTCGAGTCCCAGACCCATGCTAGGCATGTGTGTATGTGTCTGCCCCAAATCCCAAGAGAAGGGATTGTGGTGTGGTCATCCCTGGTGGGGTGATTTCTTGCTTTCTGTCTCTCTGATGAGTGTACATGCCCTATATCCAAAAACAAACAAACAACAAACAAAAAAATCTCTTTAAAAAAGGAAATAATAAAAAAAGACCTGGGTCTCTAAAGCCATTTTATCCTTTGGATCATCTTTTTGGTTTTAAGATAGCATTTTGCAGTGAGGCAATTTTTGAGTACTTGAAGGGCTTTATGTCTCAAGGTACCAATTGAAACATGTATTCCACTGATTGGTTAACCCTGTAGATGCCAGCTTCTAGTTTAGTTTTAAGAAAAATAAGCTTAGTGAATTTAAGTGAGCCTCAAAAAGTCACTACAGTTCTAAATTATATTTGGATTAGTTTACCGAGTGGTTTAACATGAAGACCATACACACAGGTTTAAGCATGAAAGACCACACTGTTTAAATATTTAGTCAAGTAGAGTCCCTGAAGAGGGACTACCTTTGCATGCATTAGAATTTGAGGATCTTATTCTATTTATTGATCCTTCAAAAGGGACTATCTTTACATGCCTTAGAATTTGAGAATCTTATTCCATTTCCTATTGATCCTCAAGAGCAGTAAGGAAATCCTAGTAACATTTTTAGGGGAGGGGAAGGCTCTTGAAAGATGTACAGAAACAGGAAGACCTAATTCACCAAAGTTTCAATCAAAAAGAGAATTCACCAGGGCAATGATGTACTTTACAAAGGCCTTATAAAACCAGATCTCAAATAAACCTTGAAAACAACCAAAAGAAGAGAGTTCAGGGGCTAGCAGGTAATGTAGTGGGTAGGGCAGTTGGACCCCACACGACTAACCATATGGTTCAAGTACCATAGCCAATGCTGGGCATGAAAATTCCGAGAGTAGAATGAAAGAGAAGGGACTAGGACATAACTATCCTCCTTGGGGGTGCTTTCTCTTTCTCTCTCTCTCTGGTGCACACAATCTATGGCAAAGAAATAAAAAGGATGAATCTCAACAACAAAAAAATAACTAAGAGGAAAACTCAGCAAGGTGAAAGGATAACTCATGGAAGCAGGGAGTGTTAAGGGCCTACATAATTACATACCTTACATGATCCCAGGGGTTGCTGATTCTTCCAAAGTGAGTTCACTTTGAATCCCACTTTCTCACACCAGAATATGTCAACCTAAAAAAAAGTAAACTCAGCAACAAGATCTCTAAAACAAAAGATTTTATTTTGGAAACAGCAAGGATTGCAATTTGGGACCAGCATATCAGGACACATAGAGGGCCATGCAAGGAGACTGAAGCAAAAGAACATTTAAAGACAAAGCAAGCAAGTTCACTTAAACTGCCTTGAGATTAAACTCACAGGTCAGAAAAAATCATTGCAGCAACTGATATTTGTTCATTGGTGGAGACAGTCATTGTGAGGCAACTGTCTTGGTACAGGCTACTTATTTGATATATTGCAAGCCCAAGGAATTCCTTGCAAGAAGCTGTTACAGAGTGTGTGTAAGACGGGTAGGTTATGTGGGACTTGCAGGACTTTGTCACAAAATATTTGTCAAGAACAGTTAAGAGCTTTGTTTACAGCATTCTGTCTCTAAAGTTTTGCATAAATGACTTCATTTTGATATCGACAACATCCACTGTATTTCAGTCAAAATAAAAATTCTAGAAGATGGGGTCCAGCTGGTGCGGTGGTTAAAGTGGCTGGATCCCACATGGCTGACTGCATGGTTCAAGTTCCAGACTGAGAGGCCTAAAAAACACAGTGTGCATTTATGCATGGGTACCCCAAATCCCCACAGAACAAAAAAAAACATTGCGGCACAGCCATACCCTTCTGGGGAGTGATTTCTCACTTTCTTATTCTTTCTCTGTACCTATCTCTCCAGTAGGTGCACAAGCCCTATGACAAGAACTAAAAACATTTTTAAAAAGAAAAAAAGAATTTCAAAGATGTAGGGAAGCATGGTGATTAAGATGGCTGGATCCCACATAGCCAACAGCACAATTCAAGTCCTGGACCTGGAAGCCTGAAAAACACACTGGGCATGTGCATGTGCATGCTCAGAATAGCAGGAAGAAAATGGAAAATGGGTTATGGCATGGCCATTCCTCCAAGAGATGCTTTCTCACTTTCTTCTCACTTTGGCAAGTGCACATGTCACATAGCAAAAACTTTAAAAATGTGTGTGTGTGTACATACACACACACACTTTTTTTTTTTTTTAACCTGGATTTCTGAAGAACAGAGAGGCCAGAGGAAAAGACATTATTAAAAACACCAGACAGGGGTCGGCAGGTTGTGTAGTGGTTAGGGGTGCTGGACTCCCACATGGCTGACAGCAGTTTGAATTCAAGCCCTGGCAGCTTTCTTTCTCCCATCAAATTAAAAAAAAAAAAAAAGTTAAATGAAAATTCTTAAAAACAAAAACAGACTCCTCTCACCAGTGAACATGATGCAGTATTCCACATGAGTAAGAAAACAACTTTGTTGCTCTTAGAAGCATGACAGGTTGCCACAAAAACCATTTACCTTCTCAGACTGATCTCTGAAAGCATGTAGCACCCTAGCTACAAATACAGATTACAAAGTTCAGACCTCTCTTCCTTTAGAGGCCTTTGGCAGCAGTACAACAGAGAAAGCTATATTTATCTGTCATCATACTGCCCTCTTTGAGGCACACAAGGTTTAGTAATCCCAAATAAAACTCTTCACCTCTTCACAGTAGTAGAATCCAGCTGTTTTCAAACTACCTCGTGTAGTAAATACAACTCCCAAGATGGGAGTTGGCTTAAGCAAGGATTTTATTATAAATCAAGAAGCTGTTCTTGGGTTTGGAAATTGGATGCTAGTAAATCTACTAGGAGTCTCACAAGATCCCTGATCCCTAAAAAAGGAAGTCCATCTTTCTGTCTCAACAGAACCCTCTGGGCCATCATGGGTCAAAGCCACAGCCTAATTCATCAGAAAAAAAAAAAAAAAAAAAAGGAGTGAGTGCCAAGGCTAATCAGTAATCCCTCCAGCAAACAAAAGATAACAGATATCGGGACCAGCAGATGGTGTAATGATTATATCGCTGGACTCCCACATACTTGACCATGGTTTGAGTCCCAGACCTAGCAGCTTAAACTCAAATCAGTTACACCTGAGAAGAGAATGGAGACAGGATTGTGGCAGGGCCATCCACCCTGAGGGATGACTTCCCACTATCTTTGTCTTTCCAGTGAGTGTATGTGCCCTATAGCAAAAATCTCTTAAAAAAAAAAAAAAAAAGTAACATGTTTATGTCCTAAATATGATATGGTGGATGAATGATGCACTGTGGAGCATATAATAAGTGGTAGAGGTAAAAAGGTTTTTCCAAAGATTAGTCAGTGATGAATCTGGCAAGAGCCTGGATGAAAAATACAGTGCAGCTCCCACATACCTGGAACTTAAGCAGATGTTTGGATGTACGAGGTTCAATTTAGGCAGATGGCACTCTCATACACGATCTCCTCCAGGGTCATGTTGAATAGAAAATGATGTTACTGTACATCTATAGTGTTTTCTTCATGTAAATATTCTGATATTCAATGATAAGGCTTTCTCACACCATTCAAAAGGTGATTCTCCAGGGGGAGTTCTCCAGTATAGAATAGAATTTTGGCTAAAGAATTTCCCACATCGTCATAATCATAAGGCCTTGTTTCAATGTCAAGTCTTACCTAAAAAGAGCATAGAGGTTTAACCAAGTAGTTTCCAAAATAAGTCTTACTTATACAGTCTTTCTCCCACATGGATTCTGCTATTGGAGTGAAGATCTTCAGCAAAGTGATTTTCACATTTGTTGCACACTTGAGGCCTTTCTTTAGTGTGAACTCTTCTATTTCACAAAACTAAGGTTTTAGGCAAAGAAATTACCCATTCACTGTATTCTTAAGGCCTTGTTTCAACGAACTCTGATGTATAGGGGATTAAGACCTATGGCTAAAAGATCTGTAGTGTTCTCTGTACTCCTATTTTCCTGGTGTTCTGATGTTGGAACTTTGGGTAAAGAATGTTCCAGACTCACTGCACTAATATGGTTTTTCTCTGGTGTGAATTCTTCACATTGATGGAGTACAGAGCTATGGCTAAATGATTTACAACATTCCCCACACTTACAAGTTTTACTCTAGCAAGAATTTCCTAGTGTACAACAAGGTAGAACTTGGTAAATGGTTTCCCATCATTACAAGGTGTTTTTCCACTGTGAACTTTTCTGTGTTCAATGAGGTAAGACTTGTGAATAATTCCCCACATTCTCTACACTCGTAACACCTTTTTCAACTGTTAAGTTTCTGATGTGTAGTAACACCATCTTTAGCTAAAGGATTTACCATATCCCATACACTTATAATGCCTTAACCCAGTGTGAACTTTCTGACACTGAAGGAGCACAGATATAGTTTACCAAATGTGTTTCACTTATAAGGCTTTTCTCCAGCATGAATTCTTCGATGTCGAAGGAGTGAAGAGTTTTGGCGAAATGATTTCCCACACTCAATGCACTCATAACGTCTTTCTCCTGTGTGAATGATACGATGTTGAAGGAGTGAAGAACTTCGACAAAATGATTGTCCACATTCACTGCACTCATAAGGCCTTTCCCCAGTATGAATTCTCCAGTGTTTAATGAGGTTGGAGCTTTCAGCAAAAAATTTCCCACATACACTACACTCATAAGGCTTTTGTCCTGTGTGAATTCTCTGATGTCGACGGAGCACAGAGCTTTGGCAAAATGATTTCCCACATTCATTACATTCATATGGCTTTTCTCCAGTGTGAACTCGCTGATGTACAATAAGGTGGTATCTGTTGCTAAATAATTTACCACATTCATTACACTCATCTGAACGTTCTCCAGTGTGAAGTCGCTGATGTCGAATAAGGTTGTACTTTCGACTAAAGAAACTCCCACACTCCCCACACTCATATGGCCTCTCTCCAGTGTGAACTCTCCTGTGTTTAATGAGACTGGAGTTTTCAGCAAAGGACTTCTCACATTCATTGCACTCATAAGGCCTTTCACCAGTATGAACTCTCCTATGTATAATAAATTTATAGTTTTCAGCAAAGGATTTCCCACAATCTCCACATTCATAAGGCCTTTTTTCAGTGTGAACCTGTTGATGTTGAATGAGGTTATAATTTTGGCTAAAGGATTTCCCACAATCTCCACATTCATAAGGCCTTTTTTCAGTGTGAACCTGTTGATGTTGAATGAGGTTATAATTTTGGCTAAAGGATTTCCCACAATCTCCACATTCATAAGGCCTTTTTTCAGTGTGAACCTGTTGATGTTGAATGAGGTTATAATTTTGGCTAAAGGATTTCCCACAATCTCCACATTCATAAGGCCTTTTTTCAGTGTGAACCTGTTGATGTTGAATGAGGTTATAATTTTGGCTAAAGGATTTCCCACAATCTCCACATTCATAAGGCCTTTTTTCAGTGTGAACCTGTTGATGTTGAATGAGGTTATAATTTTGGCTAAAGGATTTCCCACATTCTCCACACTCATACAGTCTTTTTGCAGTGTGAACTCTCTGATGTGTCATGAGGTTGGACCTTTGTAGAAAATATTTCCCACATTCTTCACATTCATAAGGCCTTTCTCCAGTGTGAATACGCTGATGATTATTGAGGCTGTTACTTTTGCTGAAGGATTCCCCACATTCTCCGCACTCATAAGGCCTTATTCCAGTATGAACTCTCCAATGTGTAAAGAGATGGGACCTTTGGCTAAAAGATTTTCCACATTCCCCACACTCATAAGGTCTTTCTCCAGTATGAACTCTCTTATGTTGAATGAGACTGGAGCTTTCAGCAAAGGATTTATCACATTCACTGCATTCATAAGGCCTTTCTCCAGTGTGAACCCTCTGATGTTTAATAAGATTGGACCTTTGAGTAAAAGATTTTCCACATTCTCTGCACTCATAAGGCCTTTCTCCAGTGTGAACTCGCTGATGCTGAATGAGGTTGGACTTTAAGCTAAAGGATTTTCCACACTCTCCACACTCATAAGGCTTTTCTCCAGTGTGAACTCTCCTATGTCTAATGAGACCAGAATTTTCAGCAAAGGATTTTCCACATTCACTGCACTCATAGGGCCTTTCTCCAGTGTGCACTCTCCTATGTATAGTAAGTTTAGAGTTTTCAGCAAAGAATTTCCCACAATCTCCACATTCATAAGGCCTTTTTTCAGGGTAAACTCTCTGCTGGTTATTAAGGCTATTGCTTTTGCTAAAGGATTTCCCACTGTCATCGTACATGTAACACACTTCTGTAGTGAGAAGTCTCTGGTGCTGAACAAGTGAATGTTTGGAGCTGAAGGTGTTTGTACATTCTCCTAAGCTGTAATAAGCTTCTCCCTCCTGAAAATTTGACATCTTCCCACTGTTTGAGGCCTCTTGTAGGAAAAATCCTGAGCTGACCAAAACATTTTTCCGAATCTCACTGAAAATAAATGGTTTCCCTGACACATGGAAATTAGAGGTCTGCACAAACGAGGGTCCCCCCGTACTGCTTCTGTAGAGTTTCTCTTCAGTTTGCTGGCTCTGGTGCTGATGGTTTGTACCAACATATAACTTTTCCCCACATTCTCCAAACCTGTACAATTTCTGCTCTCCATGTGTTTTCTGATGCTCAGCCAATTGCAGAATGTCTCCCACCATCAGGCCACACATTTCACAGGAGTGGGCATTGTTGGAAGACAGACCTACATTGGGAAACCTGACCTGAGATACACTTAGTATAGAAATACTTTGCTTGAAAAGTGCCTCCTCATCTTCTGCTTCACTCCAACAACCTGAAAGCAAAGAAATGCTGATGAATGCATGTTAACTTTGGTAGAATAGTGGAGCACATGCACAGTGTATCTGTTAAACCCAGAACCTATTCCATGGAATCATCTGTGGGAACAGAAGCTAGGTAGAGATTCAAAATGGGGTTGATCAAAAAAAAAAAAAAAGGGGGGGGGGGTTGATTGAGTCAGCCAGTGGCTTGGTGGTTAAGGCAGCTGGATTATATATGGTTGACTATACAGTTCAAGTCCCACACCTATGTGCTAGAGGTGTGAGTGCCTACAATCCTGAAGAGAGAGAAGGGACTGTGATGTGAACATCTCCCATGAGAGGTGCTTTCTCGCTTTCCTTCTCTCTCTGGTAAGTGCACACACCCTCTAATAAAATTAAAGAAAATGGGGCTTATTTGCCCCATTTTGGGCTATAAAGACCACAGACTGTAGAAGGCCTTACAATGGAAAGGACACAACCATATGATGCATCACAGTATGGTTAAGACTGACAACTCATTCTCTTTTTAAACAGGACCTTATCTGCTGATGACATGCGAGTGGTATATATATAGAGATCTATCAGGGCTCAACAAAGTATGACCACAACAAACAACTGACAGGGATTGATTAATTGATTAAGTAAGCTGGTAAACTCTCACAACATGGGGAAGAACAGATACAAATAGTACGTGACTATTAGGGTTGCCACAAAAATACTAATCAAACAAAACAGGTTTCTGGTAATATTTGAATAAAGCTGACCCTCTTACAGACCAGACTTCATCTGAGTACATCTTGCTTAGAACTATCTCATATGCATCTTCTGTACCACCAATGGCTCTCTTTTCTACTACCAAGATGAACAACTACTGAGACCTGGATTTTTTTTTAATGAATTACTTAACTTTATTTATTTATTTCAATTTGACCAGAGAGGGACAGAGTGAGAGAGAGGGAAGCAGGGAAAGTGAGAAAGCAAACCCCAGGTCCAGGACTTGAACCGCAGTAGGCCATGCGGGAGTCCAGATCCCTTAACCACCACACCACCCACCAGCCCCTTATTCATTTATTTTAATTTGACCAGGGAGAGAGAGAGAGAGAGGGAATTTGAGAAAGCAAGCTGCCAGTTCCGGGACTCAAACCATGGTCAGCCATGTGGGAGTCCAGCGGCCCTAAACACCATGCCACCTGCTGCTCCCGAGACCTGGATTTTTTAAAAATTATTTTAAAAATTTTGTTTATTTATTCATTCATTCATTCATTTTAATTTGACCAGAGAGAGACACAGAGAGAGAGAGAGAGAAGGAAAGTGAGAAACCAAGCCACCAGGTCTGGGACTCGAACAGCAGTCAGCTATGTGGGAGTGTCCAGTACCCTTAACCACTATGCCTACTGGTCCCCAAGACCTGGATTTTTTTTTTTTAAGTATTGAAGATAGGATGGGAAAGATGAACAGTCAGCTCTGGCTCAAAAAGCTCAATGCAAGACAGTCCGCAAGGAAAGGAAACTAAATATTTCCAAGAGAATTTTGATATGGATGTGGTAACTATGTCAGTAATAGCAACAGGCATGGAAAAAAATGTTAGCTAGCGAAAGTATAAGCTGCAGCACAAAGGAATTTTTTACATTTTATTTTAAATTTTATTTATTTATTTTTAGGAGAGATTTCTGCTATAGGGTACATGTGTTCACCAGAGATAGATAAGAGACAGAAAGCAAGAAATCATCCCCTAGGGGGGATGGCCACACCACAATCCCTTCTCCATTCTCCTCTTTTTGGGAATGCACAACACACTCCTGATGAGTTTTAAGCTGCCAGATCCAAGACTTGAACCGTGGTTGACTATTTGGGAGTCCAGTGACATAATCATTACTCCATATCTGCTGGCCCCAAGAAAAAAAAATTTTTAAGAGGTTTTTGCTATAGGGTGTGTGTGCTCGCCAGAAAGACAGAGAGACAGAAAGTGAGAAATCACCCCGGGGGGATAGGCACACCGCAATCCCTTCTCCTCCATTCTCCTCTCAGGATCTTGGGCATGCACGCATATGTGCCCAGCGTGAGTTTAAGCCACCGGGTCCGGGACTTGAACTGTGGTCAACTACATGGGAGTCCAGTGACATGGCCATTATGCCAACTGCTGGTCCCGGTCCCAAGAAATTAAAATAAATAAATATATATATATATATATTTATTTGTGGAGAGGTTTTTGCTATAGGGTATGTGTGCTTGACAGAAAGACAGAGACAGAAAGACAGAAAGCGAGAAATCACCCCCCCCGGGGGTAGGGGGATGGCCACATCGCAGTCCCTTCTCCTCCATTCTCCTCTCAGGATCTTCACCACACATGCACACACACACATGCACCCGGTGTAAGTTTAAGCCACCAGGTCGAGGACTTGAACCGTGGTCAACTACATGGGAATCCAGTGACATAGCCATTATGCCAGCTGCTGGGCCTGCCCGAAGTGTTTAGATCAGGATACAGTCCCCCAGAAACTCTAAAGGCAAGGTGGTATGCTTATGGTTGACTAGAAAAACTCCAACTTTTCATCCTTTCCTGACAGTATCCAAGGAAGTAGGTTTTGGAGCTGCTCAAGAAAGATAAGGGCAGAATGTACACACATCCGTCCTACTAACCACAAAACATAGCTAGAGAACTGGGAAAGGAAGCTGTGTCTATAGTCCTCAAGTGACAGAGATAACATGGCCAATGAAGAAATGATGGGGGAGACTAGCTTAGGACACAGGGTGAACATAAGGGTCTTACCCAGAGAGGAGAGCAGTGTCAAGTTTTCCAGCATCACATCACAATACAGGAGCCTCTGAGCCTTATTAAGGAAACCCCATTCTTCCTGAGAAAAGTTCACAGTCACATCTTCAAAGGTCACACCACCCTGTTATGATAAAAACAGATGAAAACAAGAACAGTCCCCCTCCTGAGGACCCATAGTTCATCTCTACCAAATATGTACCCTTATCCACCCTCTAAATGTTCCCAGCTGAAGAGGAAAACTAGGCTCCTTGGTGTCATGGTTTCCTTATGGTCCTATTATTCATGACATTCAGCTATTAGCAAAAAGAGGCGGGTGGACAAAGAGATATTGATTCAGTGGTCCTGAATAATGGGATCCACAGTCTCTTGACAGGCAATTCCCTTAGGATGACCAAGGTCAACAGATTCTAAAGTACATCCTGGTCCTTCAGACATAAATGCACATCAACCCTGAGACCACACATTTCTTACATCTCTTGACACCACAGAAACAAGCCCATGGCCACCACCACATCAGTGTCCTTTCTATGGCATCCCCACAAGTTACTTTAGTTCCTGTGTTTCCACTGATGAGGGTGGATCTCCTGTTCTTGAGTTAAAGTGAGATTCATATACATGGCACTTAACACTGGAGAGATACCATCAACAACAGTTTACTAATCAAATATACTCACATCTGAGGATAGAAAAACCATTTACTACAAGTGGACAATATGGGAGTTTAACTATGGATCGCAGTGAATCATTAAGGACTGTAGTATATAATCTTCGTGGAATCAAAAGGGTGAGTGGCCCTTAACTTCCTTCAGAAAAGTAAATGGTTTACTGGAATAACTACCAGTTGAAATGGAATAAAATCTCCTGCAGAAGAATCAAATGAGGAAACCCACTGGGTCTTCTTCTTTTCTTTTCTTTCTTTTCTTCCTTTGGTATTGAGTTGTTGGAAATGTCATGACACATTTTTTGCATAGAGACAGAAAAATACGTCATGACTTTTTTTGACAACCAAAGAGTTTGTTATAGGGTATGTGTACTTGCCAGAGAAAGAGAAGGGGGGGGAGTGAGAAATTCCTCCCCACCCCCAGCAAGGATGGCCACAAAACAATCCCATCTCGTCTATTCTCCTCTTAGGATTTTTTTTTTTTTAAGAGGTTTTTGCTATAGGGCTTGGTGCGCTTGCCAGACAGAGAGAGACAGAGAGACAGAAAGCGAGAAATCACACCCCCCGGGGGGGATAGCCACGCTGCAATCCCTTCTCCTCCATTCTCCTCTCGGGATCTTGGGCGGGCACGCATGCACACACGCCCGGTGTGAGTTTTAAGCCACCGGGTCCAGGACACGAACTGCGGTCGACTACATGGGAGTCCAGCGACATAGCCATTACACTAACTGCTGGTCCCTCTACTCTTAGAATTTTGAGCACTCACACATCCACTGTGATTTTCAAGCCACCAAATCTGGGATTTGAGCCAGTCAGCCAGCCATGTGGGATCCAGCCACCTTTACTTCTGTGCTACCAGCTGGCTTAATCACTGGGTCTCTTTAAAAAGAATTATTAGACTAGAACATATTATCCAAAGGAGCAGAGTAGGAAAGTACTATCTGAATGAGCAGTGTAAAAAATTGCTAGGGGCTGGATGTGTCCCTAAGAGGTTCATGTATTGGAATCTAAATTGCTAGTTTTGTAGGATTAAGACAAAAAAAAAAAAAAAAATCCAACTATGTTGTAGAGAGGTAGAGCTTTGGGAAGAGATCAGAATCAGGGTAGGGGCCCATAATTAGGTAATAGTGGGTTTATAAGGAGACACACACACACAAAAGCTGTTGCCCTCTCATTGCCATGTGATGCTGTGCACCATCTTTGGACTCTGTAGAGTCTCTACCAGCAAAGTAGTGCTCACCAGATACAGCCACTAGACCACACACATTTAAACTGTAAGATGAATAAATGTTTATTTCTATAAATCACCAAGCTTCAGGTGTTTAGTTGTTAAGCAACAAAGAATGCACTAGAACAAAAGGAATTTGAATTAAGTTCATTTGAAGTTATTAGATTATCAGCAGATGTCAAGGTAGTACATTGTAATGGGCCTTTACACCAAAATGTGAACAACAGCATCTTGAATATATTTAGAAAATCCAAACAGGATCCAATATTACTGTAGAATTTCCATGGTTCTCAGTAGCAGTGATACTCCCGTATCATTTGATGACTACTCTGTTCATGGCTCTAGAACCAAGTGTGATTTCAGATATCCATAGCCCTATTCCATCTCTGTGATATGCAAGCTATCCCTTCTGCAATTATGACTTCCTCTATCCATGTAAAAGCCCAGCACAACTGGTTGTCCACTACAGGCCTAGCAAGTCTCACAGATGATCATATTTTCCCACAATTGAATCATACTGAGCTGAATGAAATAATCCAGGCTTCACTAAACTCATTTCAAGTCTCGTTGAGTCCAGAGTGGTGAATAAGCACCAGATCTGGCGTGAGTGTTATTTTCCCTCAAGTATTTCTATGTTTTTGTATCTAACTCACATCCATTCTTTCACTGAAAGCCTATAACGCGTGCCAAACTATGTATCAAAAAATCCTACTTTATGGCTCTTTAACTCTTTCATTTGTGTTCATGAAGACCAATAGCATCAGCCAGATATCCAAGTAAGTGACCCAAACCTCAGCTTCCAACCACTCTTTC